AAGATGTCTTTGATGTGCATATCATGTAGTGTTTCACCTATATTTCCTTCTATGTATTTTATGGTGTCAGGTCTTAATGTCTAGTTCTTTAATCCATTTTGAGTTGGTTTTTGTGCATGGTGTTAGGTAGTAGTCAAGCTTCATTCTTTTGTATGTAGCGACACAGTTTTCTCAGCACCACCAAATGTTTTTTAAAGAATGAGCAAAAGACTTCAAGAAACAGGTCACAGAGGAAGCTATAGAAATGGCTGAAGATGCTTATCATCAGTCACCAGAGAAACATAATTACAACCACAGTGAGATCTGATACTCACTAGACTGATGAAAATATTTAAAACTGCCAGTACAGTCAGTAAATAGGTGGGATAGCTGGAACTCTCATAATTTGACACTGGGAGTGTCAATGAGTGCAACCATTTTGAAAAACTAGTGGACAGTTTCTTATCATATTAAATATAGATCTATTTTTTTACCCACCAATTTTATTTCTGACTGTTTACCCCCAGAAAAATGACAACATATAAATCAAGGATTTGTATAAGAGATTTCCTTGTTTTATTCACAACAAACAAAAATTGAATAGTCCAAATATTTATCCACAAGTGAATGGACAAAGAAATCACAGTGTATCTATTCAATAGACTACTACTAAGCCACAAAAAAAGATAAAATTTACTGACACATTCAATAACATGGACAGATCTCATGAACGTGATATTGAACAAAAGAAGTCAAACACAAAAGCATACATCTGTATTCCATTAATATGACATTCTAGGAGCAGGCAAAACCAGGTGTGGTGAGATTAATCAGAACAACCTCAGCCTGGGAGAGAGGGTCGGGATCGACAAGAAAGGGGTATGAGAGATTTTCTAAATAAAAATGTTTATATTTTGATGGGTTGGTTTTATGCCTACATTACATTTGTCAAAACTCTTTGAACTGCACACTTAAAACATGTAGAATTTACATCATGAAAACAATTCCTCCAAAAAATTTACCTATTTGCTTAAGTCCCTGCAACCAGGTTTCTGTTAATGAACTAAATGGAATCTTTCACTGATTCAGAGGGAAGAGTAATGTAAATGATAAAGACATAAAGAATAAAGAAATGAAGCATCGACAGGAGGCGGCATGGTGTGCAGTGTAACTTCTTCAAAAGCCCTTAAATCTTCAGAAGCATACTACAATGAGTTGCGTTAATCATCTGGTTTAATTGTATTTTCTTGTGCAGTGAGTAGGAAGACTGACCTGTTGGGTAGCAATGGGACCAGGTGTGCTGATTCCTGGGGAAGACTCCATGGCCAAGGGGAGGTAAGTGCTCAGACATTTCGCATGTTATGGGAGGAGCTTTAGAAACTCACAACCAGCAAACGGGCTGTGTGAACACAATGCATCTCAATTTTTGAAGTTCCAAGAGGCCCAAACTGACATATGAGTTAGAGTTGCTAAAGGGAGAAGAGTTATGCCTGATCGTTCAGTTCCTTTTGAGGTCCTGTTGATGTTTCTCTCCATATCCTGGTTTCTAGTAGTAAGTGCTGCATGATTGGATTTCAGCTCAAAGCAGTTTCCCCAGCGATGCAGGACCTCTTATAGAAGATCTCTTTCCCTACCCCACTTAGTGCAACCCAACATGTATGGTCTTGTCCTCTGACTCGAGGGCAGCTCCCAAAATCTCCTCTGTCCCGCAGACCAGTCTTGTTGAGGCTTCAGGAACAGTCTGAGCCCCATACCATCCGTCTGGAACACACCAACCAGTGTAGACTTATGTGGGGCCTTCACATAATTAGCAACATGATCCTGTGTCTTGATCCCAAAACCTTCATGCCATTCCCATGGGAAAAATGACAACATCCTATTATTTTTTTTTATATATATAGAGGCATGTTTTTATTTATTTGTTTGTTTGTTTGTTTGTTTTATACATGCACTGGGTACAGTCAGAAGTGCGGGAGGGTGAGAGAATTCACCAGAGCCAGAGTGGGCAGCAGCAGAGCCAGAGTGGGGAGCAGAACAGGCAGAAGGTCCGAAGTACACTGCTGAGGGGAGCAGCGGGTGGCAGGAGAGGTCTGCGTGCCATGTGGGACCCTCCTGCGGTGGCCGGGGAGCAGCCGGGGATCGAACCAGCGCCGCAGAGGCCACGGGCAGCTTCGCAACCCAGCACTCAACCGCTGCGCCACCGGGGAGGCCCAACAACATCCTATTATTAATACCCACTGCCAGAGTAGGTTAATACCCGTCCTAGGACAGCAGCTAAATATTTTTGAAGATGATCTCTGTAGTGGTGATGGTGATGATTATGATTCTATTCCCCAAACTAGTGGCTCATTCTTTTGCTTCTCCTTTTCCTCCTCCTCTTCTTTCTCAGACTGCAACTCAGTAGCAACTGTGATGGTGCTATTTATTCCTGGCGGTGGGAGCATCAGTGGCTTTGGGTACGGGGTAGTTCTTATACTGGGGCTTTCCTTTCGAGAGAAGAAACTTCCATCCTCCAACAGAAATGTACAGAAAGAGACTTCTGGCTTCCTATGCCCTGCTCTCTCCCCCATTCTCCCATTGGAAGAAGACTTGGAAGATCGAAAATCCTGGGAGAAGTAGATGAGTGCAGCTCAGCCCTGGGGGGCCCCCCTTGAGCACCCTGGTCCAGGATGCACATTTCACCTGCTTTTCCACCATTTGACCAGCTGCCATTTAAATGCAAATCCTCAAAACCCCCCAAATTCTGGAGAACCGCATTAGTTCAGAGTGACAAATGACACTTTTCTGAACCGTAATTCCCTCTAAACCATGAAGGTGACCCTGCCTATTCAGGGGAAGTCTCACAAGCATTCTTGCTTTGAGCTGCTGCTAGGCCTTTGCTCATGCAGGGCCCTAAGATGCCACTCAGCCTTCACTTGTCACAAGTGCTTTGTTACATACTAGATTTATCGCTCATCTTTTTCATTTGTCTGCATAAATGCCACTTTGCCCAGAAATGATTATAAACCCATTTGTGGATGTGGGTCCTGAAGTCACAAGGTCATGCTCCTATCTCTGGACAACACAGCATATGCTTAACTCAATCTGCTTAGATTATTCTGAACATGAAAACTTTCAATTTTATCGTTTTTGCAGAGAATTCCCATAACTCTGGGATTACAGTCACATGTACCCCCCCCTCCCTTGGCCAGGGACCAAAGACCCCATTTGAGCAATTTTCCCTTTCTCCAATTTCCTCTCAATATTTTCTTGCTTTGTCCTAAATCAGACTCCACTTGGTACAACAAAACATGTTACGAATCCCAAAGGGTTTTTGCTTGGGCCTGTCTAGGCTCAAAAAAGCAATATTTATGTCCTGTTGGTTTCCTAACATGACCTGACCAAGTTTTACCTTCAGGCTCTTTGTAACTCTCACAGAAGGCAATTACATGAGACGCTTCCTTCCATGTGGGGTTTATGAACAGGCTTTTTTTATTTTTCAACTGCTGATTTGCACTGAAGTTGGTAGGCCTCAGCAGCAGGATAGAAAGGAGAGAGATAGAAACTTTCTTCAATCTCAGGGTCTAATATCCTTTCCCCAACAGACTGGCACTGCAACAGACTCTGGTTTGTCAGCCCAACCCAAGTTCCCTCCTCAGGGGTCACTGGTTGTCAATTTGAGAACAAGTTTCAGGAAGTAGATGCAGCTCTTCAAGCTCAGAAAGGCCACTTACAAAAGTCACTGAGGCTGAGGCTGACACTGGGAAAGATTTGGCAGTGTGGCAGATGTGCTGTGAAATGGAATCTTCAGGAAAGATTTCTGAACCAGCCTGATCTGTGAAGGAGCTTGGTACTCAGCCCTCCACTGAGTTCTGGACAGAGAGAGCAATCCCCACTGGAGGATAAATGTTCCCACTTATTCCTACCCTCCCGCCTCCTCACCCAGTGCTCACTTCTGTGTTTTCTCTTTGAGTAAATGAGATCATGGTTCTCTGATATTCCCGGGCTCAAAACCAAAGACTCATTCTTTGCTGCTCCTTCACACGCATTCCCCACATTGACTGCCTCAAGGCTCTCACCACTGAGAGATCTCCATTGCCACCAACTGTGAATGGAGATGTTACTTTTTATCTGGAGTATTGCAGGCCATCTAAATCACCTTCAAACCTCCAGTCACTCCTTTTGACAACCAATGTTATACACATCATCAGAATTTTATGTGTGTGTGTGTGTGTGTGTGTGTTTAAAGAAATCCTACCCCCATGCATATAATACCAGTGATTGGTATACAATACCTTGAAATCAGACTTTTCTCAAGGCGCTCCCCGGCCTTCATTTCTGTACTAGTTAGTCACTGCTACTGTTATAGAGCAGCCCCGATATTGAACGGGTTCCTGGCTGTGGGTTCTCATCCGCGCACTTTAAAGGGACTTATTAATACTCCACTACAGACACACACAAAAGGTTAATAAAAGGTTATTTACAAGAGAAAAGGAAATAAGGAAAATGTACAACTCAGGGAGAAAATAGGGAAATAAAGTCTTTAATGCGTCCTACCCGATCCGACGACCTGGAAACCCAAAGTCACTTTCAGAGCTGGCAGGAAGCTGCAAGCTGGCGGAGAGCCAAAATGGGGGGCCCCCAAAGCCCACGTGTCTGCCTTTATACCAACTTGTCTGCTTAACCCCACCCTCAGGTCCCAGCCACCTTCCCTTTGGTGGTGATGGGATTTGGAGTTCCCAGTGTCTTTGGCTTTGACCTGGGGTGGGGGTGGAGTCCACAAAACCTGTATGGAATTTAGCTTTAGGACATCCTTTTCCCCCTAACACTACAAGATAAATTACCCCAAGACTTAGTGGTTTAAAGCAACAACAAAACACTTCTCAAATTCAGTCACAATATTGCTGGGTAATTCTGGCTCAGGTTCTCTCATGAGGCTGCAGTCATGTGTGGCTCTGAAGCCTTAACTTAGTGTTAACTTGGATCACTTCCAAGACAGCCCCTCACATGGAAGGCACATTGATGCTGGCAGGAGATCTCACCTCCCAGATGTGGGTCTTTCCTTATGCTGCTTGTGTGTCCTCATGGCAAGGTGGTTGTTTTTTCCTCAGGACAGGTGATCTCAAAGACAGTAAGAAAATGCTGTAAGAAAATCTCAAAGACAGTAAGACTTGACCTAATCTTAAGTCATACACCATCACTTCTACCACATTCAGTTAGTCACTCAAACCAATGCTGATTCAGTGTTTGAGGGGGTGAGGCGCTAAACAAAAGCATGAGTACTGAGAAGTGAGAATCACTGGGTGCCATCTCGGAGGCTGGCTATCATAATTTTCCAACATGGCCATCATCCTCCCAGCCTGCGCACCCTGCACTGTAACACTCAAAATGATCCTCCTCCCATTTCTAGCTACCTGAACCCTACCTATGCTACCAGCGCTCTCCCTACCATGAAGGCCTCCAAGATCCGTAAGTTTTGATGAATTCCTCCTTTTCCCAGTTCATTTAACACTTTTGTTTCTATTATAGTACATATCACATTCTGCCTTGGGTTATAGCTGGATGCAAATACATCAACCTCCAAAAGACTGAAAACTCCTGAAAGAATCCATAACTTATTCTCATGGTCACTCAGTGCTTGAATATGTCTTCTTTCCTATTAGGGTTACTGATCGGGTTAACTTTTGAAAGGAAGAGAATATTTCATTTAATATCATACCGTGTGCCTTCTATGTGCTAGTAATGCGGGATGGTCCTTCCTTCCATTGAGCTTCATCCCACTGAAACATTCATAAATTTACCCAAAAGACTGGATAAGTGACACCACACTTGCCAACTCCACACATCATTAGGATAAGATTGACAGTATTTTTTTTAATATTTTATCTGGAAGATTTGATGACTCAATCTACTTTCCTCTCAGTTGTTTTGGTTTAGTTTGGTTTTGGGGTTTTGTTTTTGTTCGTGTGTCAGTGATGATTCCTATTCACTCATTCGTTTACCCACTTACCCATTCATACACTCAACTAACATGATATGTGAGAGTCACTTGAGGATTCAAAGATAAACAAGATGAAGCTTTTGCCTTTAAGAACTTTGCTATCCAAGGAAAGTTTGTTCAATAAATGGTGCTGGGAAAACTGGGTCGCTACATGCAAAAGAATGAAGCTTGACCACTACCTCACACCATACACAAAAATCAACTCAAAATGGATTAAAGAACTAGACATAAGACCTGAAACCATAAAATACATAGAAGGAAATATAGGCGAAACACTACGGGATTTGCACATCAAAGACATCTTTACAGACACATCACCCAAAGCAGTGATAGTGAAGGTAAAGATAAACAGCTGGGACTACATCAAATTAAAGAGCTTCTGCACAGCAAAAGAGACAATAACAAAAACAAAGAGAAACCCCACCAACTGGGAGAACATTTTTGCACCCAACACTAATGATAAAGGACTGATCACAAAAATCTACAAAGAGCTGATGAGACTCAGCAACAACAAAGAAAATAATCCAGTCAAAAAATGGGCAGAAGAGCTAAAAAGAAACTTCTCTGAAGAGGAAATGCAAATGGCCAACAGACATATGAAAAAATGTTCAACATCACTTGTAATCAGGGAAATGCAAATCAAAACTACCATGAGATACCATCTCACACCAGTGAGAATGGCACATATTAAAAAAACTAGCAACAACAAATGTTGGCGAGGGTGTGGAGAAAAAGGAACTATTCTGCACTGTTGGTGGGAGTGCAAACTGGTCCAACCACTGTGGAGAGCTGTGTGGAGATTTCTTGACCTACTAAACATAGAGCTTCCATATGATCCAGCAATTCCACTCCTGGGTATTTACCCAAAGGACACAGAAACATCCATTCCAAAGAACACCTGCACCCCTATGTTTATAGCAGCACTATTTACAATAGCTAAGCTTTGGAAACAGCCCAAATGCCCAAAAATAGATGACTGGATCAAGAAGATGTGGTACATATACACCATGGAATATTACTCAGCATTCAAAAAAGATAAACACATGCAATTTGCAGCAACATGGATGGCCCTGGAAGGGATCATGCTCAGCGAAATAAGCCAAAAAGAAAAAGAAAAATACCGGATGGTCTCACTCATAGCAGGAATCTAGAAAACTTAATAAGGGACCAGGAAAATGAATAACTATAAGAAAGTGAAAATCAAAATCAACAAAAAACTATGAACCAGAGACACTTTTTGGGGGGGGGGGGGGCGGGAGGGGAGGGATTGGGGTCAGAATGGGGCGTTTGCAATTGTATGGGGGAATATAAAAATAAAATTTATAAAAAAAAAAAAAAGAACTTTGCTATCCAGACTTCTCTGGTGGCATAGGGGTTAAGTCTTAGCACTATCATCACTGCTATGGCCTGAGTTCAATCCCCAGCTAGTTAGCAAATCCATATATGGCACAGCAGACCTCTCCTGTCTCACCCACTGCTCCCCTAGGCAGTGTATTCCAGTAAATCCATCTGTTGTGCTCCCCACTCTGTCTCTGGTGAATCACTCCCCCACACTCCCCCACACCATGCCTCTGGCCTACACCCCAGTTCTTCTATGCATAAATAAATAAAAAATAAATCTTTGAGGAAAAAAAGAACTCTGCTATTCAGTGGAGTAGACATCTAGGTATACAATGACAATAACACAACTGTCAGCATAAGGAAAGGGACTAAATAACAGCAAATCTAGCAGTAACTTGGGAGATGCTCCTTAGTGACCGAACAAGGGCCAGAGGCTCTTGTAGAAGCTGCTGAGAACACAGGAACCAACACCAGCACATCAAAGAAAACAGCAATATTTGGACAACATCCCCTGGCCCCCAGATCAAAGAGCCTCACCAAACTCCTTATTTCTATGCAGGGAAACAGGAACAGGGGTTAATTGATGGCCACTAGGTGAGAAGTCTGTCCTTCACACTGTGGATCAAGGTGGTCAGCCTGGAGACTATCAAAACACCAGTCATTCATTCCTGGTGACAGGGAAACCAATGAATGTAGAACCAGATGTCCTTCTAAGAAGGAGGAATAAACCCAAAACACCTCTGCTATTAATTCCCATGGAATCAGAGCTATTCCTATAGTCAATGTATTTTTTTAGAACTATAAATAAGAACACTTGGGCAGCCCCATTGCTCAGTTCATGGATCCAATAATGGAATGGAATATTTTACTTCATTGCTGCCCGGAACCCTAGGACATATGATTGCTAAAACAACCCTCATAAATGCTCATTTATTTTTAATGCATGTATTTTGGTGCACATGAAATATGTCATACACATAAAAAAGATTCATAAGATGATATGCACAGCTTAAAGCTTAATAAGATGAACACCATGTGCCCTCTACTCTGCTTAAGAAATATGTCAGTTTATTATTAATAGTAAGATTTAATATTTTCTGAGCACTTATTGTATTGCAGGCACTGTTCTAATAATTTGATATATATTATCTGATGGATCTTCACAACCACCTCTCAAGTAAGTATTACTATCATCATTCCACAAGTGGGGTGCGACCTCAATGAGGGAGATTGCCTAACGACCAGAGATCGTAGTAAGTGGTTGAGCCAGAATAGAAAACGAGACAGTCTGACTCTACAGTCCACACTTTTCATTGCTACACTATTTCAAGTGTAGTGTGTACAGAATAGTGCCCCTATCAAGCACCCTGTAGGGTAAGGTTAAAGGTATCAGGCTTTTCTGCCCTCCCACCATCAGGATAGATGAGGGAACCCTGTGGTCCTGAATGCATGCCTGATGGCGGGCACCTGAAGTGGGTACACCTGGGCTGAGAGACGGGACTTTTAAGGGCGGCATCACGGAGACGCCAGCAGCAGCAGAAGCCGAACGAGAAGATGAGAAAGAAGCACAAGAAGCTGAGAGAAAAGCAAGAGAAGCAGAAGCTGAGAGAAGGCCGGAGAGCCCGGATAGAGTAAAGACTTGCTGGGGGCTGGGAGGCCTGCCAGCCTCCCGGCCCCCCAGCACCTCTGCCTGCCATATGCCTGGTGAACCCCAATAAAATACCTGCAAAAGCCACTAAGGACTCTGACTCCTCCTTTACCCGTTCAACATGGGGTCCTAGAAAACCTGCCCTGTGTCCATTCCTGCCCTTACATGCCCCTATACAGAATAGTGGGGCAAATAAAGTGAAAGTATGTAATATAAACCAACTTCTCCACTGATTCATCCCACCTGGAGGTGTGTTTGGAAGCAGAACCAGGAGACAAATGCTAGCATGGAGTGCAACAAGAAACACTGAAGGGGGGGCTCAGAGCAGGGCAGGAGGCTGTACAGAGAAAATCTTTCTCTCAGGTTCTTTGATCTCCAGAGGGGATGGCTATAGAGAAGAGTGGACCTATCAATGACACAAGCTTCCTGTTCTTTCATGGCCACTTCAGGGACACCTCAGCGGTTTAGTGACTACATCCTGTTTCCCATAAAGACGTAAGAGAAATGTTTTCTAGTTTGAACAGTCTATGAATATTACCCCAAAAGTTTTCTGAACAGTTCCCCTGTCTGTGTCCTCAGTTCCCCCACAACACCCCCGTCTCTGCAAATGATGAAAGCATCACACACTCCACCAAGACATGTGAACCCCAAGACTTTGTCACAGGAAAGGGAAAATGATTTTTTGTCAATGTGACCTGTTTGCCTCTGCATATTGGCTCAAAAAATAACACATACTTTAATTCATTAATACTTCTATGCCCACCAAAGAACAGCTATGCTAGATTTAAATTAGGCACTCAAGCTGACATTTCTCTGAATTGCTTCTTTAACATGCTCCCTTCCAATAATGATGACAAATATTTATCTCAGGGAACTTGGTTTTCTCAATTCCTCTTCTTCCTTGCAAAATCACCCTACTGGGGAAAGGCAAATACTTTGGTTCCTGAAATAGTCAACAGCATCTCAAGAAAAAGGACAGAGCAAGGCAATGTACATGAAAGCAAAGATACTGAACTCAGGCCTCTTCCCTGCCCATCCCAGGCCCCAGGTCACTTGGGAGGCCGAAGGCAGGGAAAAAGCAGGACAACTTGAACCGAGCCCCCTGGGTTATTTGACCACTCAGGTATTCAC